TTATTTGCTTTCTCCTAGAAGTGGACTATGGAATGATTCCTTGTTGTCTGGGAATGTAGAACTGTTGCAGAGTACTTGTCCAGTGTAAGACCCTGGGCTCCACCCCCAAGACTGCAAACAAAACAAAACAACAAAACAAAACAAAACAAAACAAATATGGATATTTCTGTAAATTGAGGTTGTATCCTTTCTTGGGAGGCATGCTTTTAAGAGCCTGATCAGATAAGAGCCAAATGATAATTGTGATTTATAAATGGAAGTGAGAAAAGCTGATTTCCAGAAAGCATCAGTCGCTTAATAAAAAATTTATTGTGCATTTTCTAGTGTGAAGTATTTCTTTTGAGCATGAAAATAGCTCAGGGTTTCTTTGGTCTTCAGCCCTCGTTGACATCAAGTTGGCACATTTGTAAGAACTACATGTATTGGTTATTTTAATAAATATCTGTGATCTTGATTATTTAACGAAGGGTAAATGATGCAAAGAAGTGAGTTCTGCCAGAGGCAGCTTCCTGCCATCTTCCTAAGCATATATAATTATAATATGGTGCAGTTTTTACAAAATGGTTATGTTGTGTTGTTGGATAAAATGAATAATTTAATTCTGTTTTTCAAGTAAACAGATACTTGGCTGGTCACTTAGTTCTGGGTTAAGTCATATATAGAAGATTAAACTATTCTCAAAAAACAACATAGAAAAGCATTTGCAATAAGAAACAGAAAATCTCTAGCCCTTGTGGGCTAACCAACTTACCTGTGGTTCTCAGACTTTCCAAGTCACAAAACAATACTGTATTTTGATGCTTTTGAAAAACAGATTTTATAATGTTGACTACGGTTTGAAATGTACATCAGTTTCTTCTCTGGAATTTCTACTGGTTTCTAAGGCTCATGATGGAGTAATAGGTTGCTGGGTATGGGAATTGGATTTGGTGACCATCCATCTGATCACTCTATGTGTATCTGATCATGATGAAGCAGTATAGACTATTCTATTATAGTGATTCTTTGCTTTTAATTGGGCAACTATAGGTCCTGGGTGGTGAAACTATCATTATCTCATTTGACAGTAGATGAGTAATTGATAAATGGAGTTTGTTTGTGGGATGGAATCATATATGGGGAGAATAATTAAATCCATTTTCAGGCATGGGGACCAGACTGCATAGGTGGTAGTTAATAGTCACTGTCTGCACATAGTTAGCAGACAGCTAAGAATAACCTCAGGATTTCTTGATCTAAGAATTAATTTTGAGCAAAATATTAAATTTGTGAATCTTTTTTTTCTAGTTATAGTCTCATGTGGCACAGTCTGTTCTAAACTCACCATGTAGCAGTATCTGGCCTTGAACTCCTGATCCTCTTGCCTCAGAGCCCTGAGTATTGGGATTATTGGCATGTGCCATCATGAATAGCTTAAATTATGGATACATTTAAAAGATAGGGACAAAAAGAGTAACAGACTCTAATGCCCCTACACGACCCATTTCCGTGGCTAGAAACACAGTAGGAGAATGTATTTGTAAAAATGAGAATTCAGATCTGCTTCTTTTATCAAAGAGGTATGCACTGACTCACACACTGAGGTCTTTGTGAAGAGCTTAGATGAACAAGTTTGGCACAGCTCTGAGTTACCAGGGCTACCATGAGAAATGCATACTGTTGGTAAGCATTTACAAAATCATTCACTTGTGAGAGGTGTCTCCACGAAGAACAGGATGCAAAGAGGGCAGTGTTCGGGGTAGTGATTGTGGGCAGTATATGGTCATTCCCAGAGACTTCTTTGGGAGTAGGGGTGACATTTAAAC